CCCCAAAACCCCAAAACCCCAAAACCCCAAATTGTAAATAATGGTTATTTGACTTGCTGATTAATTATTGAAATATCGATATGAAGAAATACTCTCCAAATTTAAATTCTGTTAAATAGATGATAATCTCGTCTTCTGAAATCACTCTTCAAAAGTATCTGAATTATCTCTAATTTCTTCTCTTGGTGGCAGTCCAATAGCAAACTCCTTATTTATAAAATCTCTTAATTCCTCATAATCCTTAAAAAACACTTTATCATATCCATTATCTCTAAAAATTCTAAGGAATGCATTAAACTTATCCTCTCTTCTCATATAAAATACTTCAACTCTTTCAGTAAGGCTCACTTTTCCATAAAGTAGGTATCTATCTCTATTATTCGATATTTTTTTCCTAAATATGTGATCTTCATATCTTTGCTGCATACCATTAGCTTTCAGATACTTCATAGGATATTCAAATCCGAATCCCCTTCTCCAGTGATCATTTTCAAAATACTGTACCTCAAAGTGATCTTCATTGTTAAAAATCTAGAATTTATCTCTCTCAGAAAAATCATAGAATTAAACCTTTTGAGATGGGTAAAAAGGAAGTGGTTATCTTGGACTAACTGCTCCAAATCCATTATCTACTAAGTAAAGCTGACCTTCAATGTTTACTATCTATATGCTATGCTCAAAGTAGACATTTGTATCAAATCTAAGCTCAGTATTCTTTAAATTTTGCACTAATATAAATCTGGTATCAAATCCTAGAGCCTTCAACACATGATAAGTCAATTAGCAATGCTCATAGCAGAGGCCACCAAGTTTTTAGACAACCATTCTATCAACCATGTCTTTGAATTCAAATGAAAGCGGCTTTCTTTCCCATAAATGATAATGGAGGTTCTAGTATTAAATATTAGTGGCATGCTTGTTAACTACTAAGCACAAAGTTTCAAAGTTTGGTCTTAGTTTGATAAATTTAGGTATTCCTAGTGCTTAAAGATAAGTTTGAAGTGCTGTCTGATTTTGTGCTTTTTAAATTTGCTTCCTGTGATAAATTTCATGATCTGGCTACAGACAGTCCTCTAGAAGTTCTACCAATAGAGAGTAATCGATTTCTGTGATGATTCTAACTTTCTTAGTTTCTGGAGTGACAAGCTAGTCAAGCCAGTTGATAATAACAGCTCCTCTGGTATTTTCACTTTCATCAAGCACTTAAACCTGCTTATATTCAGTTTTCAAAACTATTTCAGGCTCTAGAACACATGCCACTGCTAATTAATCATAGATTGCATAGAATCCACCTTCAATCTAATAAGAGTTTCTATAAGCATTCTTAACCATTTTAGCAAGCAGAGTGTCTTGATCAAATATTTGACTTTATTGCTCAACGGATAAACTAGGATAAAAATCATGACAAAGCTCGAAACTTATCATTGTTATATTCTTGAATATTTCGAAAAACTATCTTGCTGCTGTCGAATCTTAGAAAAAATTGAATTCTGAGCACCAATTCGGACTATTACCTTAGCCCTTATGATTACCTCCCATTAAAACTACATCTCTTAGCATATCTGGTAGCTCTGGATACTCCTGGTGTATCTTAATGATGTTAGTAAGTGCTCCAATTGAGATAAGTGTGATTTCTTTTGGATATTGATTGACTGCCTTAATAACAAATTAGATAGCATTCTCCTAGCCTAGATGTTAGTCTTTGATAGGTCCAAGATTCTCCTCATACTCATGAGCGTGTCCACCAAAACCATCAGGTCCGTAATAGAAATCAGTATGCTGAAAGTCATCTTTCTGATATCCTTTGAATATTTTGATGTTGTGATCATGTAATGCTTCAAGAATAATTTAAGTGTTTTTAGTAACTTGGTCTACATTATGATTGCATCCTACAGTTGTGATGCCTAATATCTCGACTTAATGCACTTTTGCAAGATAATGTGCTAGTATAATTGCATGGGCATCATCAGCTCCAGGATCGCAGTCAATTATTATTTTATGAGGTCTCTGATAGCTCTGTTTTAAATCTTATTTTTAATAATTCTCTTGTATATCTATTGTCTTGGTTTTTTCCTCCATATCTTTTAATTATCCTTGATTGTATTACAAGAACTTTTCCGTAATCTTAATAGTATTTAAATATTATCTACTCACTATTTCTAACTCTATTAATACTTAAGGGGTTTTGGGGTTTTGGGGTTTTGGGG